GGGGGGGGGGGGGGGGGGGGGAGAGGGCACTCCCTTATTTTGGCTTGATAGGTATGTGCGGCCCCAAAGGGTATGGTTTTTCAACCTTTTTGGTCATAAATAGGGTATCGATTTTGGCCATTTTTGGCATAAATAGTGTATGGTTTTTGCACTCTAGTCGTAAATTGGGTGGAAGAAGCTACTTTTTCATCGTTATCGATAAGACCATAAACACACAAAAGCCCTTCATGATAAATTACGTTTAGGGCAACTGCGTCAGCCGCAACTGTCATAAATAGGGTATCCAATTTTGATCAGGTCATAAATAGGGTAGGGAAAATCGCAGATTTTGGTCATTAATAGGGTGAGGGTTTTGCGAAAAGGGCCGCATACTCCCACCCAATTTTTCTGAGAATACCCCTTAGGAATGAAGCAAAACTCCGAGCCTATAGAAAAAAGCCCATGGCTTGTTAGAATAAGATAATAAGTGTTACACCCACCGAGTTATGTAGCTCAGCAAAGGTAAATGACAAGATTTGAGGTCACGACACAAATTTACTACTTCTACGAGTCAAAGAATTTTAAAATAAGGTCATATCCCAAATATCTAGACCTACAATTTACTCTCTGCTATTAAAAAATTACTCTCTGTTTTGTACGCTGGACAATATTGACAGGCCTGAGATACCTACAAAAGTAACAGTATTACCGAATTTGTTCACAGGTTCACACAATGAGACTGCCAAAGCCACAGTGTACCCTTGGCCTTTTGTACCATCTCGAAAACCAGCAAATATGAGCGTTACGTTAACCCCCGGTAAGCGAACGTTAAATTTACAGTTAGAATTTATACATTCATGTTTTTATTGTCGTAATAGCTTTTTTGTCCTTTTTTTTCACCATGAATGATAAATTCATAAATTAACAAATTGACGTCAGTTTTTTATGCGTCTGTCCTCTTATTGATGATAAATTGCGTCATAACATTGTCAAAGTGGCTGTGGAACCAAGTACGAGCCGCAGGCGAGTGGTTCCGCATTAAACGGAGTAGACGTTAATTTGTTTTTTACAATAACAAGACCCCAGAATGGTCAAATGCCAGGAATAAATGAGAGGAAAAGACGCCGTAAACTTGCCGTAAACAAAGATAAGTGTATTTTATTCAAAATGACGCGAGCATTGTCAATAGCTTTTCTAGCTTTTTGATTTGCTACTTAAAAAAGTCCATAAAATCTCATTGATTAAAAAGTTGACAGTTTGACAGCTGAAAGTTTAACTTGAAAGATTGCGTAAATTAAAATTTTATCCGACTGTACTCTTATTGATGGTAAAAATGAGCCAATCAGCGCGCGAGAAATTAGACAGTTATTGTAAAATATATTTTTGCCATACAAGTAGGGGATCAATAAATTCGAGTATTTTTGTTTTGCTTTTCTACAGACTCCCTCATCGCTTATTTTAGAAGAATCAGTTTGGATGTAAGCAAAGATTCAAGCTTGCAAAATATAATACGTGATGAAAGCAATACCGTTTAAGTTAAATTGATTGTGGAGGAGAAATGTTTACGATCTTGAAATAATCAAGACGATCTTCGAATGACTGAAAGATAACAGCTACCAAACACTTTTATCTGATTAAGAAATTGAAGAAATTCACCCTGTTTCTATCCAGTTTTAGTAGAAATCTACTAACTTTCCATTACGAACGCCGTTCTCTTATCGGCTACGTCGCTTACTATCTGTTCTGTTGTAGATAGTGAGTAGCCTAGAAGCCGTCGGTTGTCAACGAAATGGCGGCAGCTTCTTTGCGTTTTCAAAGTGTCCGTGAAGAGCCCAAGGGAAGAGCCCCCGGTACTCTCATATATAAGATCAAGAGAAAATTTTCTCTTGATAAGATATATGAGTATGTGCCGCTATAGAAATTAGACAGTTTTGGTCTAGAATGGGGTATAATTTATCGGAAAAGTGGCCAGTGTATAAATAATTGTGTAGAACAGGGTTTCTTACTCGAGGTTCTATAATAGACATTGAAACTCGGGAGTGACTTTGTAAGATACTGGTTATGGTTTAGTTAGCGTATGTTTGACTACTATAGTGATAAAGTTTCTGCATGGAAAAAAGCTGGTCTAGGATAGGGTATGGATTCTGGCGGCCTAGTCCAGGAGAGGGTTGCAAAAGGAAGCTGATCATGGTCTAGTCCAGTAACTTTGTTGACTGATGGAAAAACCGTGTATAATTAACAATTAGATTATGAGCTCGAGTTTTGTATGAGGTGATAGTTGATAAGGCCGTAGGCCGAATCAACTATCGCCTCATAGAAATCGAGAGCGAATAATTTAATTGTTTTAGTAGAATTCTAACTTAAATTATCGCAAATAATGGTTTCCAAATACTTTTCGACGCATTATTGAACCTTACGCTTTAACAAAATCGCACGTATTGAATCGTCCTCGGTAAATTTGCAGTTTTGTTCGCGCGCGCACCGGTTTTTCAATATTTTCAAGTCTTTAAAGTCAAGAATCCGTCCCCTTCTTTTAGTCTTCTCAGGAATTTAATTATCCATTTACATCCAAACTTTCTTCCAAAACTTCGGAAAAACGATAAAAACGTCGCATTTCGTGGACGACCGACAGCTACTGCATTCTAATGAATGATAGTATACGAGTAGTTCAGCCAATCAGATTGCAGCATTTGTATTAGTATACTAGTAGAATTTCTACTAAATAAAGTTAGGTTATATTATCTTTAAGTGATTGAGTGTCCCAGCGGCACACCCCTACCCAAACATTAACAGAGTACGCCCCCTCCCGTGGTTGAAGAGGAACTCGATAATTTACTAGTCGAAAGTGGATTTATATTAAAATAATTAGATATTTCGCTTTCGATTTCTGTGCGTGATAGTCGACCCTGGCTGGTACAGTTGCGAAAGGCATATTGTTCCTGCTGCTTAGCTGTTGAGAGCAATAAAGATAACGATGGCTTGATATTTTTACTGCAATATAAATAAATGGTATATTTCCCTATAATGATTCATGAATATATTTGATTTAGTAAATAATTCGCTGAGTTGTTGTCGTAGATACGAAAGAGCAAGGTTAATTATCTCATCAAGCTTATAAATTTTCATGTTATAAGTATTTCACGTTAACTACCCAAGAAATTACAGAAAGCCACTTTTAATTAGATTGTGATAAGATTAACGGGTTATTTACTCTGTAATCACAGTTAACATTTATATTTCTCTCTGAAAGTGGTTGACGTTTTGGATGCGACGATACAGTATGAACTGAAATCGGTATCAGACGGCCGCGTCATACTAAGAGATAGGGACAACTTATGCATCTATGCTCCTAGACTCTGCAGTTTAGCTGCTGGTGGTAAGTAGTTAAGCAAAAGAAAACCTGGTCAACCTCATCAAGAGGGCTAGATCTACGAAGTTTACGCAATTATTTTACGCGCTTACCAGCTGTTCGAACTGAAATACCACATTAACGGACTAAAGCTGCAAAAGAACTCAAACGAAATGTGCAAGGAAGCCGGAAGGGGGCATTGATTGGCAGATTTGGAAAAGATAAAGACGGATTGCACTGGAATAAACTTGAAAACATCGGCCTGACTCTGTCGAGTTAATGTCACCTCGTATAAGGGTACAGTTACAAATCCTCGGAAAGTACTATTGTTTGATATGTGCACTAAATTTTGTCAATGAAAGACTAGATGTCGGCCAATTTATTCAGTTAAAGCTCATATTTGGCAAAAATAAACAGACTTGCCTAAAATACATCTGTCTGGCACTGTCAATCCTTCGGTGTACTGAAAAATGCAGCATAGGTCATTTTTTTCTTCTATCACTGACAGCGGAACAAAATGAAACTCAGTAACATTGAAATACATATTTAACAGAAAGACAGCTCCATCAGTCCCTTAGTGGGTATAAATATAATTTATTGTAAAGTCAGGGTTAAAAGGACAAAAATAGAGCTTACAGAGGTGAAGTGAAAAGGTTTTGTCACTGTGCGATTTTCTTTCAAGTTTTTAGCTGTTTACCGACTTGTGTCCTGAATTTCACAAATTCAGGGTTTTCTGTTCTGTCTCATTTTAAGCCACATTAAGTACATCATATTATACTGTATGTGTAATTCTTTAACACAAATCTCAGTTCAGTTCAGTTACATGAAAAATATTCCATTGATCTTAGAAACTTCGGTGTGGACCTTATCTGGTATAACGCCCGAAATACCATCATTATTAAAGGTAATCCGTGTAGATATCATAAGTGGTTGAACAATAAATACCAGATTGATGATATAATAGTAATAGCAATAATAACAATAATAATGATAAAAATAATAATAATAATAATGATGATAATAATAATAATAATAATAATAATAATAATTGTTACTGCACAAACTATTTAAAATAACAATGTAGTTTACAGAAATGAATTGAATTGAGAAAACCTGAGAATTGGAATGACTTGTTTAAAATGTCACAGAAACGTAGCAAAAGTATTTGCGGTTTGTGTCATCGATTGTACGCGAGAAGCAATGGAAAAAAAGAAAAAAGAAAATTACTCTCAAACTTTACAATATACATTCTAATATTTATGGAATCTTACTCGTCCTCTCATGAATACTACTAGCAATAAAAGTACTACTTATACAATGCCAGCCGAGACATTGTCCAAACAAAAGTCATTTTCCAAAATGTGAAAATTGCGACCCTTCGCTCTTGAACCACTAAGACAGAGTAATGCTGACAGTAAAATGGCAAAGGATACTTTCGCACGGAGCTATGCGACCGTAGTGACGTAATCTTCTCTCTTCTTAACGGAGAGGAGTTCCGCAAAATTTATGAACGTTATACAAGCCAGAAGTATAGCGTCTCTTATATCACCTTTTTAAAAAGGATTGAACAATATTCAGATCAGCTTCACTTGCTCCATATATGTGAAGGCTATAAAACCCTTTGAATGGACGATAGCTAAAAGGGAAATCAGTTTCGTCCTGATTAAATTCTTCCTAGTTCTAAGCCCCCTAAGTACATATAGACATTTATTGACTTCAGACAGTTTTCGTCTTTTTGTGTTCCGTAAACCTACAATTGGATTGAAAAGTGACACCAAGAATAGTTAAGTTTTCAAATTGATTTATACTTTACTTGACATCAGTAGCATGGTTCTTTTTCCTAAAAATTAATTCTTTGCACTCGGATGTATTGCATTTCATGTCACTGATTGTCGCGTGTCCAATCTAAAAACTGCTGTAAAGCCATGTCTGAATTGTCGGAGTGATCACTAACCATGATGTACGTCATCCAAGTCGTCTATTTCTAAATCGTTTAAAAATATGTTAAAAATTAGAGCTAGGTAGCTGGCAAGAAATATTAAGGGAACTGTCAGAATTAAATTGTTGATATTGTTATTGTATTATCATTCCTGATTCCGGAATTTTTACATGTTTTTTATTTTATTATCTATTAGATGATGGGTACTGTCAGATTAGAAGTCAGCGTTTTCAACGAGGATCATATCATGTTTTTCTGCCTTGATGTTGTTGCTACGATACACTAGTGAAGCTCGCGATGACGAAAGTACAGTAATCAAGAAATGTGTAGCGTTTATAAGATAAACTTAGTCTGATGAATTCCCCTCTGCAATGCATGTAAGTCACAGTCGTCACAATTAGAAAAGAGGGGAAGATAAAACATACATGTATAATATGCATGGTGCCAAACTTACCTAAAATCGGTTTTGATTAATAAACCAATGTTAAATCAAATCAGTGTATAAAATTATACCAGAAATTAAAACTGTTTAGTGACTAATTGCCTGTCCATCGCGTATTCTGTTATATCAAGTACGCCCGTGAATCGAAAAGTTCTGTTCCTGGGGCAGAAAGGAACAATCTCTTGAATTATCCTACCATTTTGATTTTAAGAAACACAATTCCTTGGTGAGAGAAACTGCAACATCGGAACGGACACAGAAAAACTACTTGCCAGAAGAATCGCACATGGAGTAATTCCTTTCGTTAATTCGAAGTTGCAGTTAGTATCACCCATATCACACCATTTAGAAACCTCTTTCCTCCATGAACGTCCCTAAGTGAGTCTCAATCACACATCCAAGTTTCTATTTTTTGGCATTTTTTTCTCCTTGTTTCTAAACCTCTCTGACCCATGCCAAAGTCAGCTGAACCCGCTAAACAAACATCAAGAAAGTCCTGATTCCTGGTAAAATAACCGCCTAACGTAATTTGACGTTTCGAGCGTAAACTTGCCTCTGAACAAGGGCTAACCCTCCAAATTTTAGTTTCACAGACTTGCTACGAGGGTTAATTTATCTGTATCCACATCAAAATTACAAATAGCCAAGCGTTTCACGTAGCTGCCGACGCAGTCCAAACGTTTCTGTAATTCTAATTCCCCATCATATCAACTAGTCACGGCGACCGTACCGCGATTATAGGCAGAGAGATTTCAAACAAGAGTCGCTTTCTTTTATCTTCCCTTGCGCTCGGCTTTTTGGCGACTACGGCCGTTGAAGCGTGATCGCAATCATGTTACATTCTGCACTCACATTGGCCAATTCGAAACGCCAGCCACGCGTACAAAGTAGACTGTGTAAGGGATGCAAAAGACAAATTTTGTCGCCAGTCCCCTAATACACACACTCGCCCCCGTGAGGCGAAATCATGTCGCGCGATTGTCTTTGAATCAGCCAATCATACCGGTGTTTTGGATCCTTTAATTTTTTCAAATTATTGAACGGTGCAGACACAAAAAAGTTTAAATCTCCTTGTACTTCTTGAGAACTTAAAATGTTTTCGAGGCCGAAACGACCTTTAGAAGATCATGGGATAGATCCAGATGCTAAGAGAAAACTAATCTCGCGACCGTCCCTCCATTATCTACGTTGGAACATGTAGCTCTTGAATTCGAAATATTACGATTTTTAACCACGATTCGTTAACTGCCATCCCTTCCATCTTAAGTCTCTCCTCTCGCCTCACGGGGGCTTATGTGTGTATTGACTAGCCCCCCTTATAATTTATCTGGTCTTATGGCTGTGGTGTTTTTATGGCGTTGCCTTGTGATGTGAGAGCGGTTTGTGAGAGTCACGAGACCCCGCCCTTGCTTTGCTTTATGTGGGGAGACGCCAACCAAGGACATCGCAACAATCTGTCACAAAAAAAAAAACAAAACGGTCTACACTGGACATAAATTGCGCCCAAATTGCATCATAGACACAAAAACAACCCTATGTTGATGTGAGTGAGGTTTATTTGCACATTCATAGCTTTATATAGCTTTCATATTTAGGCCTAAGGTTAATTTCCCGTACAAATTCTATAAAGCACTCGTTTCGTTACATTTAGCCACAACAGTCACATACTGAGTTGCGTGCCCCGACCGATTAAAAATGGCCTAGTGATCCAGCCTTTTGGTCTAAATTACCGGCAAATCCGGTGGGTGAGGGGATATTAATTACCGCAACGATAAACAATATTGGTGAATACACAGAGAGGTCGATGTAAGTCGTTTTTATTCAATTTATTCTCCATATTGCGAACAGTTACATACGATCGTTACATTCCCATTCAAACTCTTATATTTACGTTGTTTCGCATTGTCATATAATAATGTTCCCGGCTCCCAAGGGGCTTGGGAAACCTGTGGTGAAATTTGCTAACTTGAAGTATATTTTATATAGCGATACCTACCTGAATATTTATATTTATAGCAGAGTCGTTTTCTTGGATTAACCTTCAACCTTCAAAAGAAGCTGGATCCAGATTTGGAGACCTCTAAAAGAAGAAATGCTTAACATTCCACCAGCCCGCTGCATTAAATTACACATGTCGACCGCATGTTCATCAGTGAAAACCAACTGAACTGCACTGACAGTTTCCATAGCCAACCCCCAAAAAACATTCCCCCAAAATGTAAATTGATCAGTTAGAAGCAAGAGTCAAGTTCCATTACGTTTTAAAATTGCTTGATTTTATTTGTTTGCATCAAACTTGTTCACTTATTTCGTACAATCACGTTCGAATCGCGCCGGTCACGGCAAAACGCAGACCATGCAGACTGCGTACCGTGCAGACTAAGTAATTTTTTCTTACACTTCTTTGCGCATTTACAAAATTCGTGAAAAATTTTATATCTCATCAAATCGTGGTCTATTTAGCTCTAAATATACAAAAAAGGAACTGAGTACAAACGCGACGTGCAATCATGAGTTTGTAATAACGATTTTTACTTTTCAGTTTACGAGCCTCTAGATATGCCGCCCATTTTCGATCGATTTTGGCCGATTTGGGGCATCAAAAGAAAAAATTGCGTAAACAATAGTAATTGATTTATCGGACTTAAAAACAATACGTTTGTAACTAGAGTACGTAGGGCTTCATTCTGGGCGAGTTTGAAGAAATCCATTTTTTCGCTATTTCCAAGTGTAGTCGATATTTAGCCGAAGCTGCTCCAAGATATTCTGCAAGACCTGGTATGGAAAGAACTTTAATGAGGTTTATTTTACTAATATGAGGCTACAGTGGAACCACGGTAATACGGTCACCAACGAGCCATGAAAATTTGGCCGTGTTATCGGGGTGACCGTATTAACAGGGCAGGGTTAAATTTCAGGTCTTGTGTAAACTGAGTGACGTCGACTTAACAGAAATATTTCAATGGTGCTTCTAAACAACTTTTCTCTAATAAGCCTCCGGAATGAAGATTTAATTAAACTTAAATCGGTACATACAATATTAACAATGGAAAGACGCACATAACTGGTTTGAGTGGCCATATAAACTGGGTAAAATTATACAGGATTATAGAGGTTCGGATTTTGGCCGTTTTAACGGCGTGGCCGCATTAACGGGGTTCTCTTATAAGAAATGTAAGGGTATTTCGCAGGGACAAAAAGGTAACCGTAATGACGTGGTGACCACATTAAAGAGTTGATGAGAATGCAGTCCGAGTCAACTATCACGTATAGAAATCGACATTTGTTTGTGTGGACGAATTCCCATGTAACGAGAACATGCACACCAGATGTCCTGGTAATTAATGTATGCCTCACATAGAGCGGTTTTCAATCGAGTGTCGAAAGTAATCAGGCAATCTGACTTTGGCCTTGGTTTTGGTTATATTAGGGTTTGAGATTGACTGAGTAGTCTAATTGGTAAGTAATTGGTTAGGTTTTGATTTTACGACACTCAACTGAAAACCGCTCTATTATTCTTGACGTGTTAATTTTGGGAAATAAACCTTAATTTTTTTTTTCCAAAAAGGAGGTCTTTTTTTTTATTGGAGCACACATTATTTATAACCGTGATTACCGAAAATTATTTACAATAACAACATTACTTACAAAACTTATATTACCCATAATAGTGTACATGAAAAAATTACCCGATTCTGATTGGCTATGTTATAAAATGTGTTCTCTATCTTTTAGGAAACACTGAGATAAATGGAAACTACTTTATTTCGATTACCAAATTGTCAACAGCTCCTGTTGATTTTGTTTTTTTTTTTCTTTCGAGTTATAGAAGCACAGCTTTAGTACGCGCTTCGTTGCAGAGGGTTTTCTAAATAACTATATTTCTACATTCAAACAGATGGCCTGTTTTACTGTTAATGTCCAAAATATTCTGTAATAACTTTTAAATAATCTCATGCATCTGGCCAATGAAACACTATTCAGTTGTCTTAGGTTAACTATTAGAAAGTACCGTAGTAAGTATAGTAGTCAATGTAATTTAATTAATAGTCACACATGTTTAATTTTGCTCTTGGATGGTGAGTCGTTTCTAAGCATTCCACACTACTGAGTATTAGATGGGAAAAGGAACTAAGTCTTCGAACAACTACATGGACATCTCCGCGCTGCCTCAAAAGTAACATTGCTAATCTATAGAGCAGGTTTCCAATTTCAAGTCTCTTGAATGTGACCTATCAGTGGCTGGGTAAGTTCTTCGATAGATGCCTCTGCAGGATACAGTGATGCGAAATTCTCTCTGCGGCGAGTTGCTTTTCTCTGAAGATCCCTGCAGCTTTGATAAACAACTTGAAAGCATCGCACAAAGCAAGTAGTAACATTTCCGCAGAAGTATCGCATGTGGAGAATACCCTTTCCTAGAAAAGGCAAACAAGATTGTCAGCAACAGGTGTTGGCATATGGATACATTATCATTGTAAAGATTTTAAAGCATCATACGAGCTTTAATTTTGTATTGAATCAGAAGCACATTG